TCACCACCCACCAGACCAGGGCATTTAATGCGTCCCCACGGCTAGAAGCGCAGAACCCACGATTACGGCGGCAGCCGAGATTTACCAGGATTCATGGGGTCACACCACTATGCTTCACGATCCCAAATGTCGATTAGACTACCCACTTGCTATGATCAGGCTCCACCATGCAGATTTTCAGCCTCGATTACTCCTCCAAGAGCTCTTCCTATAAATACCAAGTTCAAGCTACATTCAAAGGGTTCAAACACCAAACCAAAAGCCTCCCACGGAGCAAATTATATTTTCCTGTAATGCACTTTCATTATCTTTACTTGCTTTCCTAGGAGTAGTGTTAGATTGTAAGGAGAATCCGTTCATCAATATATCATACGACCCTTGATTTTCAAGGCGTCGGAGCACCACCTCTGTTACTCTTTCATTCATCCCATATATCATATGACCGTCGCTCCCTGAGCAACGCGTCGGAGCAACCCCCAAAATCCATTATCAACACCACCATTAAACGGCCTTGTAGCTCAGGCCGTGAACCTGACGGCCGAGACCAGTTCCTCCCTCGGCCACAATCGTTTGATTAGAAGTCGAACCCAAACAGGCGCACCACTTAACCATTTCATCTACATCACCATCTCGACACATGGTAGACCGTGCTGGCACACCCGCGCACAACCGCACCGCATCCAAAAGAAGGAAGCCACGTGTTAACGCATATCCCCTCGGCCCGGAACTCCGGGCTGTGAGATTTGCGCAGCCAACACTTTTGGCACACCCGGTGGGACTCTTGTCAAAAACTCATGGTGGAAACTAGGGCACAGGCAAAGCTAAAAAACAAAGCAGTCGAAATGACTTCTGAGACTCCTGAGTCCACCTCACCAATCACTATCACCGAGACCGAACATGCGGTCAGAATCTCGGCCAGCGTCCTAGTAACGACGGATCGCACGGCCGAGTCCATACAAGAACAAGCCGTGGTAGAAGATCTGATGTCTAAGCAGGCCTACAGGATAGAGACATCTTTTATGGCCGCAATGGACAGATTTTGCTTGGAACTACGGACGCTTTTCCGGGAAAGGATGCCGGACACCTCCTAGAGCCAGACAGAGAAGCTAAGAGTGCGAAAGGATCGAGCCTTACGGCGAAAGCAGCAGCCTCGACATCTCTGGCCGAACCCAAGCGTCAGGTTACGGTCAGCATTCGCTGCCGCCGGCGAATAGCTATGAAGGCAAGCTGGATCATTATCTGAGCGAATGACTTGTCCTAAAGCAACCAACAAATTGGCATATCAACATGATCAGCAGAGGTGCACTCCTTATCGATACTAGCAATCGTTCGGTACCCCCAAGTTCTTAGCGTAGCAAACGGGTGCAACAATAAGGTCTGACAAATTGGTTGGGTACCCATCACCTTCTTTGAAGAAGAAGAGAACGGTATCATCTTCCCCCATTTTGATCCTATGATTATCAGGGCAAACAATGTTGACTATGACATCGGCCGGATCCTCATCGACACCGGCATCTCAATCAACATGCACTTTACCGATGCTTTTAATGCCCTGGGGATCGGGCATCAACATCCCAACAAGGACATCACTCCTCTTTTGAGCTTCTTAGGGGATGTTGTCGAACCAATCGGCAGTGTCCCATTGGCCCTCGCTATCGACATTGCCCCTCGAAGAACGATCATCTACACTCACTTCCTCGTTGTAGACTGGCCAACGGCCTACAAGGCCATCATCAGCAGGACTACACTGACCAAGATGAGAGCCAAGTATGTGGGGATCAATTAAGTGCACATACGTGTTATGTCTCGGCTACCAAAGAATAAGCAAGGGCAACCCCATGGGAGACCTACTCAGTACCTTCCGCTCCCACAGCCATGACGTTTGGCAAGAGGACTGACCAACCAAACAATCCCCATTGAGGAACTGGAATCTGTTGCTTTGATCAAAGAGCATCCGAATCTGCACCACCTTTAGCCAGGCCCTCCGTACCGAGTTCATCACCTTCCTCATGGCCAATTAAGAGGTCTTCGCCTGGTCATACAATGACATGCCTGGGATCTCCCTTGACCTCATCAGCCACAAGCTCAACATTAGTCCAACCTTCAAACTAGTCCATCAAAAACAAGGAGCCTACAACACCGAACGATATGAGGCTATAAAGGTTGAAGTGGACAAGCTGGAGACAATTGACTTCATCCAGGAGGTCACCTACCCCATCTGGCTCGCCAACTCGATCTTCGTGAAAAAGACAAATGAGTTGTGGTGCATGTGCCAAGACTACACTGATCTGAACAATGCTTGCCCAAAGGATAGCTTCCCAGTGTTGAGGATCAATCAACTAGTAGATGCCACAGCAGGCCATGAACTCCTCAACTTCATGGATGCATACTTAGGCTAAACTAGATCTTCATGCACCCTGCCGATCATGAACATACAAGATTCATCACTAACAAGGGCCTCTACTGCTACAATGTCATGTCGTTCAACCCGAAAAATGCATATGCAACCTACTAATGGCAGGTCAATAAGATCTTTGCCGAACTTATCGGCACTTCAATGAAGGTTTACACGGACGACATGCTGGTCAAGAGCAAGACTGCCGATCAGCATCTCCACAACCTCTCACTCATGTTCGGTGTTTTGGAGAAGTACAACATGCGCCTCAACCCAAACAAGTGTGCCTTCGATGTCTCTTCCGGCAAATTTGAAGGTGAAAAAATCAAGGCATTACTCAATATGCAGGTGCCAAAGACATAGAAGGACATCCAGAGCCTCATTGGTCACGTCGTTACGCTCGCAACATTTATCTCCAAGACAACCGACCGATGTGCTCCCTTTTTCAAAGCCCTCAAAGGTAACAAACGACAGATCACATGGATTGTTGAATGTGATCAAGCCTTCCGCGACCTTAAAAAGTACATGAGCAAGGCACCTTTGCTGTCAAAACCTCTCCCAGGAGAAATCCTCATCCTCTACTTCTTGGTCTAGGCAACGGTAGTCAGCTTCGTGCTAATACGCAAGCCTGAAGGTACCAAACATCCAATCTTCTACCCCAGCCATTCCATGCAAGACACTGATCTTCACCTACACCCTTGTGAATCTTTGCTCGCAAGCTTCAGCCTTACTTCCAATCTCATACCATCACAGTGCTCACCAATTAGCCCTTGCGCCAAGTCTTGCAGAAGCCAGAAACGTTAGGCAAATTAATCAAATGGGCCATCGAGCTTGGGGAGTTTGACATCCATTATCAACCAGACCTGCCGAAAAGGGCCAAGCTGTGGCTGACTTCATCTCTGAATTCACATTGCCATTGGCAAATGAACTCAAGCCCAAGCCATCTGTTTTGAAATTATTACAAGCGCACAATCTGCACAAGTAATATAGAGATAAGTGAAGTGTCGTTCCCATGAAGACTGTAATTTCCTTTTAATTACCAATTATGATTAATGCAGAAGTTTATTTGAACAATTAATTAGTAAGATTGATTGATTTAATTTAACTAAAACAGTTATAAAAAATAACAATTTAATTAACAATGGAAAATCAAGTTTGATGAGACACTAGAGCATCCATAACCAATTCTACTTAATTCTTATGGCCAATTAACCCTAATTAATGCCCATGTTGACAATTGGTTTCTCCTAATTCATTCGATATCCCCTCTCAGGATCAACCAAAAGTATTCTTAATTAACAACCCATTCTCTCTCAAGCAACAGATTTAGAAAATTAAGAACCTATTAAGTTCTATGAGAACCTGCAAGAAAAATGCATGAGTCATGTTAGTCCCTCTCGGGAACTCATTCAAGACATGGTATTTGTTACAAGAAGCAAACACCAAACATCTCCTCTCGGTCTCCACTTGGATCATCAAATCAATTAAATATTGACCGGATATTCAAAGCATTAAGAACAGTAAGAAATACTCAACGTGGAATAGTCATCATAAATTAATATAACTATAAAAATTAAGTATTCATGGTTAGGCTACATCGTAGCCCTAGCAAGGAAAATTAGTTCATGACAAAAGAAAAGATAAACAAGAGAATCGTTGTCATAAAATTGATTTGGCAGATGGATTTGATCCCTGGATTCTCCACAGCAACACCTTCGTAAGCTCCAAAAGCACTGCAGCAGCAACTCTTGGCTCTCTCTTTGATATAGTTGTGGGTGTATTGAAATATGGTGAAAAAGTATATGGTGTAAGATGGTCCCCTATAGAGAGAGCTTAGGGTGACCTTATATAGTGTAAAACAACTAAACCCTACTGATAAAAGGTCTAGAAAAACTCTCCTAAAGCAAAACAATGAAGGAAACAAACTAAGAAAGAATCATTCTTTGACTTGGAAACATGCTAGCCAAATTGCATGCACGTTTTGGGATTGTTCCACTTCCTAGAAAATTTTGGAAAATATGAGAAATGTAGCTTAATCTCTAAGCTTTCCAAGCATATATCACACGCCACTAGAAAAATCGGAAAGGTCTTCATTCAAAAAGTCAATTTTCACTTGAAATCCTTCCAAGAGCGCATAATAGCTGAAAATAAGAAAAGTAAGGTAATAATGCCCTTTTTAATTAACTTTCTCAACAAAAATCAAATATAAGAGGTATTAAAATATAGGAAATAATTCACTTATCAGCATCCCCATCACTCCCGAGCCCACCCCCAACCGAAGGACTATTCGACCCAAAGATCTCTTTTTGGATGCTTCACGTCGATGGTTCATCCAATCAGCAGCACACGGAGTCGGCCTAGTCCTGACAACACCAGACAGAATGACCATCGAATACGTCGTCCGTTTTCAATTCAAGGCCTCCAACAATGAAGCTGAGTATGAATCCCTCATAGGCGGCCTTCGGCTTGCTGAAGATATGGGTGCCAAACAGATCAACATCTGCAGCGACTCAAAACTCTTCGTCAATCAGATTACCACCGAATTTGAGGCAAAGGACAAGTCGATGGCGACTTACTTAACACAAGCCCACCAATTGCTCAAACAATTCAATGCCTACCAAATTCAGGAAAGATCCGAGAACAGCCATGCCGATGCTCTTTCACAACTAGCATCGACCATTGACGACTGAGTTGGGTGGCGTGTACCGATCGAAGTACTTGCTCAACCTAGCACAACTGAAGTTGAGGTACATGTCATTCGGCAGGACTAGGGGTGACAATTTTTGATTCGACCTGTTACACGACTCGAAACCCGCACGAAAAAAACACAAGCCGAACCAGCACAATAAATAATTGGGTAGTTTTTGGGTTAGCTCGTTATGACCCATTTATTGGACGGGTGGATTTTGGGTCAACCCGCCAACCCGCTAAAATACATGTTTAACCCGTTTATTAAATGGGTCGGGTAAATCCTTTAAAACCCAATAACTCGCTTAATTTGAAACCCTACAAAAAAAAAACACATATATAATATTAATTTGATACCTATCTAAAAAATTCAATTCACACACCCGCCTCCAAACCAAACCCTTATCGCATCTCCCTCCCTTTGCGTCTCCCCCTCCCTCTTAGTCTTTCCATCTCCCTTCTTTGCTTCTCTCCCTCTCTCTTGCCTCTCTCTGTGTCTCCCC